TTTGGAAAGTGATTAATCATTTGATTATCATTCATTCGGTAACCGCTGTCGACACTGAATATACCGCGACATGATTGCACGCAGGCCCAATAAAAATTCCAATCATCATCGGAACCCACCTGTGACCAGCCGCGCTTTTCGAAATTATTCACCAGCACCGATTTATCCAAATCGGTACAAAAACTAACTCTGAAGCGTTCGTGATTAGTCAAATTGTTAACTCTAGAAGTATACGATCAATCAAAAGGGATGCATTATTTTTTAAAAGAACAAAATTAACATAGTAAGGAATGCCGAGCATTGATACCTTCCATAAGTATTTACAATAGTATTTCCTTTTCTAATTTGTTGTTCTTGAGCCATAATTCTCTGCAAACATTTCAGCACAGAAAAAATTCTTATATACAATACAAAAAAATAGAGACAATGTGCGTTAGGCGTTTCGCATGAACAACAGGAAAAGAAGAATCGCTTGAAATTTCTCAATTTTACTTATGGCATTTATCGATTCAACAAATCACTTGAAATTTTTCGTATATCGTTGCCTGGTAAATTTCTTATTTTTTTTTTTTTTTTTAATTAAAAAAAATAAATAAATAAAACTTTTACACAATTGAAAACTACAAGTATTTTCCAGGCGTAGTTCAATCAATGAACACGTAAAAGATAATAAACAACATTTATTTCTCATTTCTTATTCAATGTAAATTTCGAAAGGGTGTGTAGATCGATTCATAAAATAGAAATTGGAAATAACAAGAAACATTTTTTACTTCAATAAGACTTCAATAAGGACGAGAATGGAGGAGAAAGTACGAGTCAATGAAATGTATCCGTAAAATTCGAAAAGTACAATCTAAGAAAGAAACTTTCGTTGAAGCAACATTAAACGTCGACAAGGGTGACCTGTAATCGTTTTAGGCAAAAGCCCCGGATATAATGATTCAACTATTTATCGATGTTATGTATTTTATGTAATATATGCCCACGTTAATAATAGCTCCGCAAGTCGAGTCGAATTTACACACTTTCACAACCATTCTTCTACCGGAAGAACGTACAACTGAGCATGGGCGACGACGACATTAAGCTCTCTATGGAAGAATAAAATCTCATTATGCATGTTAAGCAATGATTTAAGCATTCAATTACACCCTTATGACAACACAACAAACTAAACAGACTGATTCCATAATTTCGTTATAAACTTTTTATATCTCTTCTGATTTTCTTTCTATCAACTATCACGCATAAATAACCTTCGGATTGACTAGCAGACTGTGAAAAGGCATAGTGACGCACATAATTAAAAAATATATCTGATCATTTTATTTTTTTTATTTTTAAGTTTCTCTGGCGAGAGCAAGGCTCATCTAAACTCTATACCTTTATATGGGTGAAATACCCGGTTGTAAAGCAACTCGATAACGAGAAAACGCTTTTCCCGCGAAATTCCGCAAGACCGAACAAAAGAAATTTATTTCGAGTTTCCCCGTAGCGCCCGTAGCGCCAGAAAGGAAAGAAGAAGCCCCAGATAAACCAAACGCAAAGACTAGAGCGAAAATCATAATATATGGATAGATGCCTTCAAAAGGTTTGTAGACTGCCTAACATTTAAAATCTGTACTTCTTTATGATTGATGAATCCGCCTTTGTAATGGGCAGCATCACTAATAGTAAGTCGTATCGCTCCAAGGCAAAGCGCTATCTTTATCTTCCATCCAAATGTTTAAAATCAGCTTTTTCTGCGCTTTTGTTATGGCGGCGATTACATGTCTGAAAGAACAGCTCTGCTGTCTCTAATGGCAACTAGATGAACAACAATAATCCAAACAATAAAAGCAAATAGATATAAACGCGCACACACACACCATAGTTGATGCAATCGGGGGAGTGTGCGGAAATGGCGGAAAGCAGTAGTATAGCTAGCGTGGTCAAGAAAATTAAAAAAAAAAAATGGAAAGCAATTCTCTGCTGACGTAATACAGGCAGTGTTGTTGCCCTCATAGCTATTTGACTTGACTGGTTGTTCTTTCATTCTTATTGCTTGCTTGGCCAAAATTAAAGGTAAAAGTAAATGTTTCTTTACGTCACGTCACATTTTGTCGAATGTTTACAAAGCAGACGGATATACCCTTCTGCGTTTCTAAATATACACATTGTATGCTTAAGTTTGTGCATAAACACGAGAGAATTTCCAACATAACGTTACAAACGTAATTGGTTTTCGTGCGAATGCTTACTTCAGCTTTTATTAAAGATTTCCACTCATCATATTCCATTAGATACTTTCGTAAATTTCAGTGAAAAGATCTCTACAGGCCTACGAAGATAGATAGATTTCGTGGTGAAAGAAAGAAGTTTTTGTGAACAAATCGTTTATAATTATTTACTATTGCATATATGCGCGCATATATATATATATATTTATATATATATATATATATATATTTAATATTAATGCATATAAGACCTTTGTCGATTTATGCGTTTTCCTAACGTTCCTACGTTCGTATAACTGGAGCAGATTTTATTTGCAATTTTAGAAGAACTATTTACAAAGTGAGTTTCCAAGACACTATTTCATTATTTTACGGATCCGCATACATTTTAAATGATATGGTACTCTCCAAGTATTTTTAACCAATGACGCTATTAAAATACGTCATGTGATAATGCTAGTTGACTGAGCTTAATGATTAACAAATTGTTGTTGTTGTCAAATTATTACATATTACCTTAAACCATTAATTAGAATTTTAGGATTTCATAACTCTTCACTCTGTTGTGCTCATACACACACACACACACACACACACACACACACACACACTTGATCGTCTTCAGTCTGTGGACGCCCAAGATCAGATCCCTTTCGCTTTAAGCGATTTCTCTGTTTATAGCACTTTTGAAAATTTCACTCAAGTAATTTTTTTTAATTCGATTATCTGTTATGTTCTGTTGTGCTTCTCGTTCATCCGTTGTCCAATCTATTATGAACGCCCATCATCTTATTAAACGAAGCAGAGTAGAATGAGAGATAATTAACGATCGATCTTTCTCGTCTCGTCTCGTAACGTTTTAACTATACTTGTACAAGTAGATTAGTAGTACTTCTGTGCAGTGCTGCCAAATTGCATAAAAGCATAATACTTATAATGCGTACTATTGCGTATGCTATTTTGATTGCATTATATATCGTGTTCCACGTACTTATCTCTTAGCGATCGATTAACGACTCAAATGGTGCTGGCTAGTTATGTACAAAAGTCAATGAATATGCGTAACTTGTCTTTACGCAAATGCGATTTCGTTCATTTTAGTATGAGCAACGGCATAGCCCTTTTGCTCTATAAACAATTACTGTTTTTGATGTAAATATTAGGATTTGTTTGTACATATTTGCAGGAGCTAATCAAACCGAGTCATGTACCACGCATGCATACTAGAAACCCAACATTTTGTGTTTATTAATGAGTTACATGAAAAGTCTTTACGGTTTTGACCGTCGTCTCGAGTTCCTTTTGCTAGACCGCTCTTTTCAAATGATCACAATCTGTCATGTGATTGACGTTTATTACCTCCCCTCTTCCTGACAGATTATGTGGCGATTTTGTTCCACCGATTGCACAGTTTCATGGACTTTTTTGACAAGAGCGAGGTGCACCTTTGACAACGATATTCCCAGAATGGAATCACACAGCAATCTCACCGTACACTTCCTAAATTTCGCCTCTTTTTTTTTATAACAACAAAGCATCACACAGTGAATTTCTTCAGATATTTCGTCCATTTTTCAAATCAATAAAACTTTTTTACTTTTTAAAACTATCTTCACAGAAAACGTTAAGGTGAAATGTCACCTTTGAAGCATATGTTCGTTTAAGATAATCAAGTGAATATTGACCGATATATAGGCATTAATATTATTCCACGGAAAAAAACCGCAAAGACTTTTCATACGACCTAATATATAAAAATGATAGAAAGAAATTTTCGCTGAAAATTTCGCCCCACCGTTAAAAATATACATTTTTCCCATCTGTGTGACAATTTTTTTCACCAGACTTTAACACTATTCTGGTCCCACCATCATCTTCCTAGCAAAGCGATTCAGTTTCGTAGTCGATGTGAATGATTTGATCAGTTAGGATGCAAAGCAACGCTTTTTCGTAATCGGCACACGAAATTTCAATTTTTCTACTGCTTTAAAAATTATAAAAATGACGTCACTATGACAATTGAAATTGGTGAACTAATAGTCATGAAATGTCATCAAATTTTGATATGTATCGATGTATACCGATTGTTGATATTATCCAGAAATCCAATGTTTCCATGTATGTGTTAGATCGGAGATTTATTGAGTGATGTATGTAATCGATTTGAAATCTTGTCGGCAACTTTAAATCGAAAGCGAACATGCATCACTGCTACGCTAAATGGCTTTGGATAAATAATGAAAAGTTCAAAAAACTTTTAAATGTCGGCAATTTTTTAATGAAATAATTGAAAATCTTTACTCTTGAAATAAAACCAATAATACCCAAGGAGCTTTTGCTTTTTGTAGTTTAGCTCATTTATTGAAAAGCTTTATTTGTTCGACGATCGAGAGGGCTTTTAAGCGAAATTAATATTTAGTTGTTAACCGAACGAGGTCTTTGGTAATACATTAGTAAAACACTCGGAAGTGTTATGTGCGAAGATAAATATAAAAATTCTTAAAAGTATAATGGATTTGTTATTTCTAAGCAAACGCATCTACTTGGGTACCGAAGAGAATTTCATAAATGGTGGTATCATAGTGAGTGAAGACGGTATTATAAGGAAAGTAATGCGTACACCGCAAGAGGTTAACAGTTATTTGTACAACACAGAATCGCAAGCGGTAGGTGCAAGCAATTAAGAGAAAGAGCAATTAAGTAGAAACTTAAGGTAATGTACACTTAGGTTTTCGATTTTGAAAATATGGTTTTAATGCCAGGCCTAATTGATGTCAATGTGCATATTAACGAGCCGGGGCGGAAAGATTGGGAGGGTTTTTTAAATGCTACGAAAGCGGCGGCAGCAGGTGGTTTCACCACTATTATAGATCGACCTACGTAAGCTCTTTTTAAATCGTAAAACAAATTTAATTTGATAAATTATCTATGATTTTAGTAATGCTGTACCACCTACAACTACTTTGGCTGGACTCAGAGCTAAGACTTCTACCGCACGTGGTAAAATTTTTGTCGATGTAGGCTTTTGGGGTGGTCTAATACCGGACAACTTACAAGAGTTATCATCTCTATTAAGCGCCGGTGTTATGGGCCTGCAGTGCTCTTTATCACATACCGCCGAACCAGTTAATAAGGAATTTCCCGCCATTACGACTGGGCAACTTCATGATATCCTTTGCAAATTAGACGATAACGTTGTCATAGCAGTACATGCTGAAAGTGCTCTACAACAGCCTGTAGCAGCTAACGAAAACGAACCGAAGCGCTATGAGTCATTTCTGCGAACAAGACCGTCTCAAATGGAAATAAATGCCGTACAAGCCATCACTGAATTAGCTTTAAAGCATAAAAAGTTTGTTTCAATACACGACTCGTTTACTTTAAAAGTAGCTTAGCTCCATATATATTCTTTTTAATGCACAAACTAAAATCATGAGCTTGTTGATTATAGAAACGGGATATAATTCATTTTTAATATTGTTTCTATTGTGTTTCTGTTGTATTTGTAGAAAACATTTTCATTTATTGAATTTGAGTTCCAATGAGGTCTTATCCCTTATCAAAGACTGTAAGGATAAAGGAGCTCAGCTAACCGCCGAAACTTGTCCGCACTATTTAAGTTTAGCGGCCGAAGATATAGAGGACTGCCGTACGGAATTTAAAACTCAGCCGCCAATTAGATCAAAAATGAATCAGCCGGCTTTATGGGAGGCCATAAGGACTGGTTGCTTAGATTTAATTGCCTCCGATCATTCACCAGCTACAGCGGGCCCTAAATGCTTGACGTACGGACGCACTAGAGGAAACTTTTTAAATGCTTGGCCGGGTATTTCTTCACTCCAACTAGGTGAGTAGCAAGCATGACTGTCGTTTTTTTTTTTTTTTTTCTTTGTTTTTGTTGTCTTTCTTCTTAAACGTATAAAAAGTTGTTCAGGTCTCTCAATAATTTGGACCCATTGCCAAAGATATGGCTTAGGCATGCAGCATATTTACAAATCAATGTGTGAAAATCCTGCTTTACTTTGCGGTTTAGAGAGATTTAAAGGTAAAATAGCTGAAGGTTACGATGCCGATTTTTGCATATGGAATCCCGATGAAGAATTTCAAGTATCACCCGATATGTTACAGTCTTCCATTAAAGTAAAAATATATAATGAGAAGAATGTATACAATTTTGATTTTCAAATCATTTTGTTGTCTTTTTCAGTCCACACCATATACAAATCAACGTTTGCGTGGAGTTGTGCATGCTACCGTAGTACGTGGATTACATGTTTATCAGCAATACGAGAGTTTCGGCCAACCTTTGGGGAAAATTTTATTGCGTAAAACTTCACAAAAGGTTGTAAAATTCGTACGAATGTAATTTGCGCACATATGTAAGATTTCAATAAAAGCGAAAGGATTGAATGACAGAAACAGAAACATTTTATTTAGGGCATCATTACGACAACAAATACGTAACAAGTGTTAAACTTACGTAACAAATGTATAAAGAACAAACAAATAAACATGAAATTGTATAAGGAAAAGTTATTTGGAACAAAGAAAAATATTACTTTATATTATGTATTATATATACCAAGTACGACGTTAGCAATATATGTTTGTCTTATTTGATGGCGACAATAAATGATCGAATGGTAGTGACTGAAGAAGCCAGTGATATTTAAAATAACAGGTAATTGCATGTATTTTGATCAGCGACAACTTTTGATAAAAATGATGCGAAAGTAATGCGAAATATCACACACATCGTACATAACTGTACTCTCTCTGCATAAGATAACAATTTTCCATTTACTATTATTGAACGATTTTTTTTTTTTTTTTTTTTTCGATCGAAAAAGTGATACGATCAAAATATATTTTTAATAGTGAGCGGTCTTGGGTTAAAACATGTCGATCCACCAAATTTCATCGAAATATTTTAAAAATTGCGACTTGTAGGTTGAACACAAAACAACAAGATGGACAGACGGGCAGTTGGACAGGTGGGCTGATGGACAGCTGGATAGATGGATAGATGCACAGACAAGTTTAGAACCATTTTCTGACTCGATCGGTACAAAATTTGTTAAATTTAACTCAAGTCTTTCTAGATTTTGCGCACATCCGCACAAACTTAATATACACTTATACCACAAGAGATTTTACGCTTGAACACCACTTGTCTGCAAGTCGCTACTAAAGCATTACGAATTAGAATAGTGTCTGCAAGACGTAGTCATAAGAAGTAAAACGTAGATAGCCAAAGACAATGACGTGAATAATGCGAACAGACTGTAGCAAAGGTGTTACTAAAATCTAAAATTTTATGAATTTTGTTGGCATTAAAGGCACAACATGAAGATGTCGAACTTGCATTTTTCCATAATTAGAATTATTCTGTCTAAGAATTGAAAAGAAACCGAAGCAACTTGTACATATACTTATTATTATTATTATTATTATTATTATTAATTTCGCCAGAGAAATAAATTCTAAGACTAAACTCTTAAAAGCACTAGCATCTAAGGCTATCGGCTTTTTTTTTTTTTTTTTTTTTTTTTTAGTATTATTAAAAACTCTACCGCACTTGTACATATACTTAACTTGGATAATTTGGATAACGACCAATCAGCTATTGAAGGAAATTTCTTGGGAAGCATAAAATGTATCGTACATCGATATTATAGTCCCTATCGATTTTCGTAACAGTACTTTGTACAGAGAACGTACAAAAACCGTAGTTTATGCGAGATGGATCCAAAACATGTTTTCTAGCAATGAAGCTATAGCATTGCCAAGAAAATTGAAACACTAAAACGCCATCGCAGATAAACACTATATCATATATGTTTCATTATCCTATAGCAAACAAAGTAGATAACTGACTACTCTTAAGCCAACATATTCGCCTTGTTGCTTTCCATTTTTTCCATTGTTATTGTAATTGTAAGTTATAGACTTTTTTATATTTCTTTCGAAATTTTGTTGGGAAAAGATTTAGAGTTTAATTTGTGCTAAGGTAAACTCTTGTAAAAAGTTATTTACAAAAAAACGAAAAAAAGTAACTTTTACTGTAATTTTCTCTAAAATTGGCCACAGTGTAGAAGAGGTCGTATGAGTACTAACAATATTCAACGAATGTAACTCATACGGTATTCGGCGAAAGTAAAGAACGAAAGAAAATCAAAATAAAAAGAGAGAAACGAATAGAAAATACACTAACTAACGAAAACGAAAACTTGTTATTCATAGGCTGAGTAAGCTTTTCATTAAATAGTTTCGCACAGTTTTATTGCATTAGAGAGGAGAACTTTCGTTTTTCTTTAGCAAGTACTACGAACGGCCAATAAAAACAAAGTGAAAAACTTTGATTTGAAAAAAGTTCTTCTGCATAATATTAACGACGCTTTAGCAATATTTATATGTGTAGGCGGATAGTGATTAAAAAAACTAACAAGATATTTCTTGTCGCAAGAGTAATATTTCTCTCTCCCTTTCTCTCTCTCTCTCTCTCTCTCTCTCTCGCTTTCTCTGCATTTATTTGAAAATTTTCTCTAACAAATAACCAAACGTACATAGCGAAGAAAGAAAACGGGAGCAAAAAAGAAGATATATATATATATATATATATATGCGTAAAAATGTTTAAAATACCGCACATATAAATAAATGACATATACGACTAACTATCGAAACGTTTAAAGCGTATTCGACGACGTAATGTATTCAAACAATTCTAATGACAGAGTGTTCGTTTATTTGTATGAATGTGTGTTTATAATGTATTATAAATATTATACATTTTTATGCGGTTGTTATTGTTGCTATTGCTCGTGTCGTAGCCGTTGTAGTCATCGCTATAATATCATCGTGGCCCGTCGTTCGTTTGCGTCGTTGTAGTTGTAATTATTGTTGTTATTCGTGTCGTCGTCGTATACATTTTCATTGTAATCTCTTACAATAGCTTCGCATATATGCATATGCGTTTATATGGTTGCGATATAACAATCATGTGTACATGTACATTTGATACTCTATAAAATGAATTTTTATACAACATAGTGGCGAACTGTTGCTTACTCACCAATACACAGCTAATAGTGGCCCGTTTTTCATTTCATTGTGTTTCTTTTTTCATTTTTTTTTTATTTTCTTCTTTGCTGTGTTGTCATCATCAACAAAGTTTAGTCTGCTACGTAAAGTAGTCGCCGTGAGTAACGAAAGCGCTTTGCACATTAAACTGAATTTAAAACGAAAAAATCAAATCAAATGCTATGTATTCAAATAATTAAATAAAAATATATTTTCATCAACTTAACATAAACTATAAACAAACGCAAATATATGTAATATATATAAATACATATATATATATACATATATATATATATATATATATATATTTACACATATACATGTATATAAATATGTATATATATGTATGTATATATACATGTATAGAATAAAAATGCTGTCTGTCAAAGGAGTACATATGTGTGTAAGTGCTAAAGCAATCGCGCCAAATATTTACTTAAAAGAATTTAAGAAATTAATACCGATCGTATTAATAAAATAAAATAAAAGCAACAATTTGCCTGCAATAATAACAACAATAACTATGAAAAGCGTATTCTTAAATGAATTTGCTCCACAAACGCGCGTTTTTTTTTTTTTTTTTTGCTTTCTCTTTTATTCGCTACCCGTTTCTACTTTACCATATGTCCCTGATTGCTTGAAAGGAACGTCAACAACATTACCCTTAACTCGTTCATCCACCATTACCAGTAATCAAATATTAATCTTGACGTAATCAGTATTCTTTATTTTTTTTATTAAATTCATCTTTACATATACATGTACATATATATATATATACATATATATATATATATATATATATATATATATTTGTTTTCTTTAGTCATTTTAACGATGTCGTCAAAACGCAACAAACAGATAAGAAATCAACCAACGAAATACCGTCACAACAACCTCACGCATACTTACCAAATAACAACAAAAATATCTGTTATTAGTATAGTTGTGTATAAATAATTATACAAATTCGCTTTGCAAAACCTCATCAACCATCATCATCATCATCATCATCATCGTCATCATCACATAAATACGTTGCGAATTTTTAGGTGATAATGATTGCAAGCATTGGTCGATCAGTTTAGCTTTCTTATCTACATTTTATATATATATACATATTATATATATATATATATATATATATATATATATATAAATAAATATTCAGATAGATTTCTCGTATGCGTTATTTCAATCTTCAAATAAATAATAAAAAATATACGTATGTATAGGTTCATATAAACCTTTGCACACGCTCACTATGAACCATTACGGAAAAAATGAAGCAAGAAAAACTACCAGATATCAATGAAAGTTATGTTCGCCTTAATAGCTACCGGTTGAACACATCTCAATATGTAATATTTATTAAGTATTTCGTAGGCAGGCGCAGGTTAATTTTAGGTTCATCTTTCCACTGAATTTTCGATGATTCTGACTCTGACCAAGAATAGTTCCAAGAAATTTTTTATTTAATTATCTTACAAGTTACAATTTCATCTCTACCGTTACTTGTCACTTATATGTGTTTGCGTATGCATCACACCCATTTTTTTTAGTATTAGCATTAGCATTAGCAAAATGTTAGCACAATATCTACAACTCATTGTCATTGTGGACGTTGTTGTTTAACAATATCCATTTTCAAACTTGGCCGCCCCGTTCTCGATTAAGAGTAAATTGTTGGTTCCGATGAAAAACGTACAATACGGTAGCACATATTTGTTGGTGTTACAAACGGTAAAATAAATCTTGTATGCCTTTATCTTTCGATGATTGGCATAATAATAACATAAAATAAAAATTATAATAAATTTTTTATAGGTTTCTTTTGCAATTGTTGGCTCGGTTTTATTTTGCTGTGATTGTTGCTGTCTTTTAAGTAATTTTAACATTTTTTTCGTCATATTTGCATTTTTTTTTTTATGAAAGAAAAACAACAACAAATTGTAAACAAACAAATAACCTTAGGGCAAATAAACTTTTTTTTTTTTTTTTTTTTATCATTATCATTATTATTATTATTATTATGTATACTATTAGAGCAAGAATAAAACATATATTCAATCGATCCGGCTATTTACAACATTTGAATGCTCGCAACGAAATACGTAGCTGCTTGGCTCTCGTGAATTCTCTTCTTACATAGAAATAACTCAAGACAGGATGTGTTTTAATAGTGAAAACATTTTCTTGCCAGCACAAAAATAATATGACATCGAATACCACGAATATATTTAAAGTGTAATGCAAAAGTCTGGTAAAAGAGCCAAGCCTTGTCGCGGACAGGTTCTCGTCTTTGTTATAACTTATTAAAAAATTAACTGACAATATCGCTTCGACTGGATAAAAAAGTTTAAGCCTAATTCGAAATTGGATCAACTCAGCGCTCAAAGTAGTAAGTAGTGTCCAACAAGTTCAGCTAACAGAAAAAAAAAAAAAAAAAGAAAAATTCTAGTAAAGAATTTTCAATTTGTTTGCTTCCTTTTTGTGATGAAAGGATTATAGGAGATAAAAAAGAAGGAGAAGATAAAATGCAAGAAAAAGGGGGAAAAAAAAACCAATGGAAAATGGGAAGGGAAAACGGAAAGTAAGAGAACAGAATCGAACAAGTTTCAATTGCAATTGAAAAGTTGCTTTTTTTGATCGTAACGACGTATCTACTTCGACAATTGTAAATCTAATAATAAATACCGCAGCCAGTCCACATCTTATACCAAAAAACCTATTCGTTCACCGCAGGCTAGGCGCGTCGTTGTTATCCAATGAGTTTTTCATTACTAATGCTCCTCGTTCACTTTCACTTTCACTTTCGATTTCTCTTTCTTTCATACACTTTCAATAGTTCGGCGACTTTCACTGATTAAAGATCGAAGAGATATTACGACCGAATCAGATGTTCAGTAAGGGCTTACCCGGTCATGGGATTTCAACAGATGCAACAGACGCAAGAAATTTCTTCTTTTGCTAAGATAGCCACACCATTACACAGCTCCATGTGAGAATTGAGCAGATTAGTAGAATTAGATTATAATGGTCTCAACGAATATTTGCTGAGCTGAGGCTATAGCTATCGACCTCCATGGATACTGAAACGCGATAAGGAAAACCAGCAATAGTTTCTGATCGCAAAATGTATAAAAGATTCAAACACAAGTGTGACTACATGTTGCCTAAGGCATTTATAAAAACCTATTGTAAGATACCAAGTGCCCTTGGTGTTAGATAGGCCTCACCTTGAGCAAAGGAAAGGGAATGATTTATATTCGCGATCACGTTTTAGCAAGCCAGCAGTAAAGTTGGATCTTACTTCCCGGTGGGAGATATTAGCGCCTCTCATTGGATCCGTATATCATCGGGCACAGTGGAATTAAGCATTTTCAATGCATACGCTTAACTTTAAGGACATTTTTTCTCGGCATGGGCTATGCTTGAAAGAATCAATATCCATGAATGCGATTATATTTCTTGTACAGAGCCGGATTGCTGACTTGACCAAGCGGGATCGTTTTGCTTATTAACACAGTTTTCGCGTCACAGATAGGCTGGCATGATTTTGCAATGAAAATCGATTTTGATATGGTTGAAAGTGTATGCACGTTATGTATGTTACGTCGCGGACGATAATTATTCCATTTTAATGTGTAAATCAATGCGTTTTTACACACTTACAGACTGCGAAAATGTTACGTAATCGACGAATGTCGGTTACTCTATTGCTCTCCTTTAAAACCGCAATAATCCTTTGTAATTTTCGCTACCGAACTTGGCATAGAAGCATTGTGAAGGGTGAAACCTACACGCTTTCCCCCATCACTCTCTTTCCCCGCGATTATTATTACAGCAATTCGAAGTTGTTATGAATGAATTGTAGAAAGTTCAGGAAAAGTTCTGCCAAATTCCAAACAGATGAACGAGGGGGAGAGACGGCGGTGGCGAATTCTCGAAAAAGACTGTTTCATTTTCAAGTCGAACGTGCAAAAGGCCGATATGTCTTGGTTTCCGAGAACAAGGCAATACACTTTCCTATCTTACCTGAAAGAGATGTCATCTTCTGAATGCTACCACCAGCTAATAATCGTTTTACGCATGCATCACTCCTCATTTGAAGGTGAAATGACTCGTCATATAAAGCCAGAGAGAGAGAGAGAGAGAGAGAGAGATAGAGTGAGAGAGACAGAAATAGAAAGAGAGAGAGAGAAAGAGAGAGTGAAAAATAAAAACGGAGAAACAAGAGAGAATTATTGGAATGTAAACCAGATTAACCAGGACGGTTGAGTCAATGCTGAGCAAGCAAAACTTGCATAAACTTGCATACACATCTATACGAGGGGGCTAATGTCATTCCTTTCCAAAGTAAACGCTACAAATTAATTTTGCTATGGTGACGATTGTATAGAAATAAATTATTAACAAAGAAAAACAATAACAGCTCACGTTAAAAAGTCATTATTGGCCATAAAGACGTGTATAACCACACCTACTTTATTATACATACTCAAATGCTACGGGACATATAAGAAACATTTATATGCAATTAAGAGACACGTCATTTAAAAGTTATTCTTTAAAAAGCTGCATGCTTACGATCAAATTATACACAAATAGACGACAGGTAAAAATATGTGTGTGTCAAGTTAATGACTACAACCAAAGCAGGGAGCAATTATTACACTAACTTATGTATTTTCTTATATACCAATGGTATAATTATAAACAAAACGGTTTAGTCATTCAACAAAATTTATAACAAACCCAAAAGAAAAAGATATTGCTATGACAGCGCCTCCAATATGACGATCAAAAAAGTAAACAATTTCTCAGATTTAAAAAAAAAATAAAAAAAAACAAACAAATGAATAAAAACTTATTCTGCGTAAATTTGCAAGATGAGACAGGCATTCTTAACTTCTCTCGCATCTAAGCAAACTCTGGCGCGCCAGAGATTATCAGAGTGCAGTTAGTATTTCTTCTCTTCGATGACACATGTGTTCATCCTATTCTTGCTTATTCGATAATGATTCAATTCATCTTTTGAGTTTAGTCGTATGCTCGCAGCAAAAATTTGTCTCCAGATATCTTCAAACTGTCAAATGATCGACGTATATCGCTTGGTAAGATTATGTCTCGCGTTCGAATTTGTCGCAAATCATAATCGAATTCGATCAAGATCCAAATTTGACAATGATTGAGTGGAGCAGGCGCCAGGAGCGTGTTATAGGTTGAAGGCCCATTATATTTACTCTGGTTACACTTTTCACACACGTGCATCAGGAAGATGCAATAAGAATCGATGAACTGTCCAGTGATAGGCAAGGATTCCTTGACTGAAATGCTTGGAAAGGGAAGATACAATTGGTGGATTGTGAATACCAAAAAAAGGACGCGAGATATCAAGTGTAACATGCTCATGTTATCATATCAGCTGCTAACGTAATGTTTTCTTGCATGATTGGACCGCTTTTCTATTAGCAAGCAATTCAATTGCACAAGTTAGTATAAGCAAAGTTCCCTGGTGATTCAATTGAAGCCGTTCATAACGCATACACTTGGCGATCTCCAAAAAATGATGCCTTGGAACCTTGGCTTTCACGTTGATACAGCAGCACGTTCCTTTAAAATAGATAAGGAAAAGGGCCTTTTCCACAATTGATGGATCTAAAAGGATATTGAGCCTCCTGTATCGTTGGAATTTGTCCGCCTTCACTTTAAAGCCAATAAGGCCACACATGAAGACATAGATTTAAAGAAAAGCAGACGAAAGTATAGCGCCTTCATGAAGAATCTGTTCATATAATGCCCTATAGCAGATAATACTCGATCTTCCGCACCCTCTTCAAATCTACTCCTGTTATTCGTCAAATTGTACTCATTCCTGAAAAACGATGACATCTCCAAATCATAATTTAAGCCATTAACGATTGTTAAAGTTGTTGTTGTTGTCTTTTTCGTTTTCACTTGAAACTCTTTTCAACAACCCTTTGCCGAAATGGAGCAAGCATGGAAATTTGAACCTTTTCTTCGGAGACTGATCTATTTTACGTTTCTTTTTTTTTCTACCCTTCAGTCACGCAGTTCACGTCTTTCGCGTACTCACTATTTCCGGTAGTAGGAAGGGAGTACAAGGGAGTACAAATACAGAGATAGTCATCTCAAGTCGGCGACAATGTTCAAAAAAACGTTAATTGTTTTAGACGCTAATCGTATCTTGGCATTAGAGTTTGCTAGTGAAACAAGCGTTTCTTTAGGCTCGCTTAACTATTTAATTTCGCTCGCCAATAACCTGCAGACAAGTTTAAGCTCATTAAGACGCCCCGCCAGCAGCAACGTTGTGAGACTTTCGGCCACTAACCGACCTGTGTATCGCACGAAATTTTTCACGATGTAATTTTACGGTTATAGCGTACACTTGATAAGATATTTTTCACGATGTAATTTTACTGTTATAGCGTACACTTGAAAAGATATTTTCAATAGGTAGAGCCTAAAAATCTCAAAAATATTGCGATAAAAACAACAGGTAGTGCCTATCAACGCCACGATCACAATACGTAATTAATGAGTTTCGTACACACATTACAAATATTTAAATATACTTATTATAATCGATATGTAACATCGTTATATAAGTCTGCCTGCAAAGTTTTGCAAACCTAAAGGGATCACTTGAAGCAAAGATAGCGTTGCTTGATAAAATCCATAATATCACAAAACACGAAACTTTAAATAGGAATCAATCTAAATTATTTGGAAAAAAAGAAAAAAAAAAAAAAAAAAAAAAAAGGAAGAAAAAACTGTTCTCTCTTTCTTTCTTTCTTTCTTTATTCTACTATTTGTATTGAATAGAAGAACATTGCAAAGTAATGATAACGATATATATATATATATATATATATATATAAACAATAAACAGCAAAGAAGTTTTTAATTGAATGTCAATTTATCTGATCAAATATGTTTGGATGACGTTTGGATTCGTAATGCATCTGCAAAGAAGAGGAGATAAAGAAAAATACGTAATGATCGGTCAATGTTTGAATAGATATACAAATGTACGTATACGTCAGTATATATATATCATCTGTTAGTACAGATGCATTTATGTGTAAAATTATCTATGAAAATGCAAAATGCAAAAACAAAAAAGAAAACAAAAAAACGAGAAAAGTTGCAAAATATGCAAACGACCTTAACGAGATGCAATTTATATGAGTTGTTGTGTTGTCGCAAAAACAAATTTTTACATTCACGTGCATTTATATGTGTGTGTACGTATATACAATTGCAATTTGTAACAAATATCATAGCTCATACAATACGCATACATATACGAAAGCATTTTAAAGTCTAAGAAGACGTACATACAAACCACAATATCGGAATGCATTGACTACGTAA